CTGCGCACAACTTGCAAAGACGACATCAGCCACTGGGATCTACAGTTACCGACGCTTGAGTTCGCTTACAACAACGCGTCACATGCGGCCACAAGGAAATCTCTTTTCTTCCTGTGTTACGGACGGAAACCATTGACACCACAGCAGCCAAATACATCGGCACAGGTCCAAGCCATACATGACTTTGTCACCACCATGCAGCAACTATGGGAGAAGACTCAGCGACGTCTCACCACGATGGAGGACTCCCAGAAGCAGTATGCCAATTGACAGCAACGAGATCACTCGATAGCAGTTGGAGATCGGGTGCTTCTTGATACACGCAACTTGGATCTGTCATAGTTATCGTCCAAGCTCCGGCCTCGCTTCTATGGTCCTTTTCACGTTGAGGAATAGGTGACTATATTTACATTCCGCTTGTATTTACCTTCTACATGGAAGCTTCACAATGCTTTCCATATTCAGCTACTGAAGCCCTACAATAACCCCAACCACCAATTCTTGGGACGGCAACTACCGCCACCACCATCTGTTCTCGTACAGGGTGAACCGGAGTACGAGGTGGAACACGTTCTCGCTCAAGCTTCGCGGCGGCAAGACTCTCGAGTTCCTAATATGCTGGAAGAGATATGACCCCTAGGCGGACAGTTGGGTTGCAGAAGCTAATATGGGCAAGGCACGCCGTGCTCTCAGGGATTTTCTTATCAAGCAGGGTGTTTCTCACGCCACCCAGCTTTGAGGGGGGACGTGTGAGAGTACGACGGCTTATGCTAGCATTGCATGCTTGCCTTGCGTGACTTTATTATGCTATTTCTAGCTTAGGTTTCTCTTAAATGCATGCTTATGCTTGATTTCCTAGGTTAGGTGCATTCCTATATTTTATTATAGTTATAGCACCGAACCAGGTTATGTGTGCCGGACTCAAGCCTTTCGGTTGCCACCGAATTGCTTTCTACCGAGTTCGGGAAGGTTCTGTTCGGGACGCTTCGCGACCCTCAGAACATTCGCGTAACACATGGGTTTCTGGCCTTGTGTCGAGACTATATATAGCATTGTGTTGTACCCAGGTGAATCAATCAATTTCATTTTCTTTTCTAAACTCGATCTTATCGACCCTCACAATTGCAGTTCTCCCGTGCACGGGAAAAGTGACTGTGATCCCATATTCTTGAATGTAGGCAACACCCACCAAGTTCCGAGAGAACAAGGGGATGGCAGTGAGGACACCAGAAGGGACAACCGGGCACGAGAGGGTGGTAAAACTGCGAGCGTTAGCTGGACCTGAAGTAGGATCAGTCAGGGGGACTGAGACCGGAGCAGCAAGAGGTGTGACAGTGGTGTGGTCGCGAAAGAAGCACTGGGACGCGCCAGAGTCTAGCGTGAAGGAGTGTGACGCGTCAACAGTCGTCACATTTGCACTAGTAACTACACAAGTACCTACGCTAGAAGCACAAGCACCTACTCTAGCAACAGGCAAAGATCCTAAGCTAGATACACGCAAGTCAAGAGATCCATACATGACAGAATAAGCAGCATCCATAGACATAGTAAACACACAGTAACCACTACGAGACAGATCGGGCCAGATCGGGGGAACCGAGTCAGGCCCAACATAGGCTCACGGTAAAGGTCAACGAGGTGACTGCAGCAGCGCAGTGCAGAGTGGTCAGGACGTCAGCAAGTAGTGCCAACATGAGAGCCGGTCAGGATCCGGTAGTGGCAAGGTCCAACGTCGCGGCCACCACGAATACCCCTCCAACCGTCTTGGCAGACGCTCCCTGGACCGTGAGGCCCCCACTGCTGCGCAGGGTGCCATTGCTGCGGAGAGCGCCACAGCTGCTAGGGTCCCCACTGCTGAAACTGCTGCTATCCCTGCCGCTATAACGCCCGATTGAAGGCAATGGGAAAAGGCTAGCTGGGCAACAGGCACGAGAAACTACTAGAGCAGGAGTGGCTGGAACTAGGAACTGTTGGAGGTAGAAACAGCAAGGACCACCAGGCTAGGAACGACTGGTACGAGGAGCGGCTGGAGCAAGGAGTGACAAAAGGGATGTAGGCGCCTGGAGCTAGAACGGTTGGTGCTAGAACTGCTGGAGCTAGAGCGCCTGGAGCGAGAACGGCTAGCGTTGAAACGGTTGGAGCTAGAAAGGCTAAAACGAGAACGGCTGGAGCTAGAATGGCTGGAGCTGAAACGGCTGGAGCTAGAACGGCTGGAGCGAGAGCGGCTGGAGCTGAAACGACTGGAGGTAGAAAGGCTAAAACGAGAACGGCTGTAGTTAGAACAGTTGGAGCTGAAACGGCTGGAGCTAGAATGGCTGGAGCGAGAACGGCTGGAGCTAGGCATGGCTCGAGCTAGGAGTGACTGGAGTGAGGAGCGAACGGGGCTAGGAACGCTTGTAGCGTCGGGGTACTAACCCTAATCCGCGCCACTAGAAGTAACTTCAACTGCCAGCCGTCGCTAGAGATGCCTAAGATAGTAGGCGTGGTGTTGAAGTGGCAGATATGGTGCGTTGCGGCGGTTGGGAAAGGTCTGTGAACGGTTGTGAGGGCCTGTGGGCAGCTGTGAAGGCCTAGGGGCGGCAATGTAGGCTTGTGGGCAGCTGTGATGGCTCGCGCTGCTCTACTCGGTGGCGTGCACTGTTCTATAGGGGTGCGCTGCTCTGCTGGGGCGTGCGCTGCTCTGCTGGGGCGCGCGCTGCTCTGCAGAGTGGCGTGTGCTGATCTGCAGGGGGGCGCTCGCTGCTCTGCAGAGGCATGCACTACTCAGCAGGGTGGTGCGGGCTGCTCTGCAGGGTGGCGAGTGCTGCTTTGCAAGGTGGCACGGGCTGCTCTGCAGGGGTGCGTGTTGCTCTACAAGGTGGCCCGGGCTTCTCTGCACGGGCGCGTGCGGCTGTGCAGGGGCGCGCGCTGCTCTGCTGGCTAACACGCGACTACGCGGAGGGGGGACCTCTGGAGCGCAACGAAACGAGGGCCCGCGGGGCCCCTTGAACGCGACTAAACGAGCCCGCGGGGGCCTTAAAATGCAACGAAAGCGAGGCCCGCGGGGGCCTTTAATCGCGTCGAAAACGAGGCCCGCGAGGGCCGTCCTACTCGCAACGAAACGGAGCCTAAGGGACGGGCGCATCGGGTGCAACTAAAGGAGGGAGCAGAAGCGTGGGAGGGAAAAACAATCTTCTCTAATACCATCTTAAAGTAGCCTAGGACCCAATGGCGAGAGAATTGTGATGATTGAGAAGATATGGAGATTCAAAGAGTAACATAGAAAGTATTGTACCCTCTAAAAGCAACTCACAGTAGCCTAGAAGCCTAACAATGCACATAAACATTTTTTGACAAGTGTGGCTAACGTTGTAGTGGCTAATTGTGACATTGTTGATATGTGTTGTAGTTGTCGTAATCGTGTACCAACCCTGTTCAGTGGAGGAATGAAATAAGTTATGAGAGCACAAGGAATTAAACTTTTCTCTTGTTTTACACGCAGAGCATGATCACTCTGCTATGTATTACTGCATTGCACATCACACCACCACGACACCATTAGTTTGTCAGAAACGGCAGGCAGAAACGATAAAACAGGAAAGAGGGTTTTCACTAGCAGGCAGTTGAGTACATATAGCAAACCCTAATTTGGGCTATACTCGCTATAGAGTACCCCACTGCAGGCTAGACAAACATCACATTCTGACACACCCCCATAGTCAAAGTGGGGTATAATCAGCACAACAAGCAGGCATAGCAATAGTTCACAATGATAAGCAAAGCTAGAAGCTATCACAGAGGGCAAGTGAGGAGGAGGAGAAACTGTGGGGGCGAGAAGATGGGAGGCGACGGCTGAAGCTGCAGACACACGGGCAACAGGAGTGCGCAGCACTGTGGCTACCAGGCGCAGAGCCCCGGACTACACGGCGACAGGCGCAGCTGGCTCTCTGTGCTCCCAGGAGTGCGCAGCACTGTCGCTACCAGGCGCAGAGCCCCGGACTACTCGGTGATTGGCGCAGCTGGCTCTCTGGACTACAGGCGCTGCGGACGACAAGACGGCTGCCTCCACTCAACTTCCCCCAGCTGTCCCACACCCCTTTCACACACCCCCTGCTGTACCTCTAGCACTGCTCGAATGCCACCTCCCTCGTACCACTCCGACGGCTCCAACACATCCACCCCCCTCAGCGGCAGCTGCAGCAGTGGGAGACGGAGGAGGAGGAGGAGCAGGGGACGGCGCACACACCCGTCACCCCCATACTCGCCACCCCCACACTCGCCAACCCCAAACCCTAACACAGGCAGGAGCGCGGGCAGCAGCGGGGGCGGTGCGCGGGCAGCAGTTCGGGGGACAGCGCGCGGCTCCCCAGGGCGCCGCGACGGGGCAGCGGGGGGCCGCGCGCGGCTCCCCAGGGCGCCGCGACGGGGCAGCGGGAGGCCGCGTGCGGCTCCCCAGGGCGTCGCAACGGTCGACGGGGGGGAAAGCGCGGGTCCCTGGGGGCGACGCGACGGTCGACGGGGGGGAACGCGCGGGTCCCCGGGGGGCGACGCGACGGTCGACGGGGGGGAACGCGCGGGTCCCCTGGGTGACGCACGAGCCAGTAAACCGCCGCGCGCCCATAGCGCGCGACGGGCAGAAAACCGCCATGCGCCCCGAGCGCGTGGCGGGAAGAAAAAACGTCGCGCGCCACGGGGCGCGCGACAGACAGGACAGCAGCGGAAGCTAACGGTGGGCCCACAGGCCAGGAGCGTAACCGCTCTGATAGCATGTCAGAAACGGCAGGCAAAAACGATAGAACAGGAAAGAGGGTTTTCACTAGCAGGCAGTTGAGTACATATAGCAAACCCTAATTTGGGCTATACTCGCTATAGAGTACCCCACTGCAGGCTAGACAAAGATCACATTCTGACATAGCTATCATCATTCAACGGATGTGCGTATGCTATGCGCACTTATAAATTCCCAACCAACCTCTCTTCTCTTAATTGTTGGCACGTCCACTGGGAATGTTATCCTTGTAATTTATTTTGTATCCCTAAAAATCAAGGTGAATTCTAGGAGTAACCTTGATGAACCCTTTTTTTTCAGTGGAGGTAATGTTCTCCTCGACTTGTCAGGGAATTATCTTTTACATCTCTTTTGCCTTAGTGTAATGTTCTGAACGGTTGATATTGCTCTGTACAGGGTACAAGGCGCTGCGAACGTACACAGAAGTTGATTTGGTGCCGTTCAGGTTTTACGGGAAATATCTCCAGGTGGCGGCGCCCAGACCACAGCCGCTACGTGGTCTCAGCAATATTCCATGTCGACATTACGTGGAGCCTTTAACCCTGACTCGTCGTGAGCTCTTGTGGTGTACAAGTGCCTCAAAAAGTTGCACCAGCGAAAAGATCCCCAGGTTACACCAAACTGGGACATCCACTCTGCTTGGGGTGCGTACACCGTGGATATGACGCTAGCTTCAAAACATTTGACGAGGCCAGCCCTCAACAACGGCTGGATTTTGTGGGACACCCTGGCCAATCGGCATTGGCGCGCTTATGGTCCCAACGAGGACAGCTCACCAAAGAGGTTTCACAGCAACTGTTGCAGTTGCCAATTGTGGTTCAACTTGATTGGCGGTACATAAAGTGATTTGGTGAACCTCCCTCGAACCCCAAGTCGGCTTGGCGTAGCGCGGCATTTTTCTGCCAGATCCAAACCAGAATGCCCTACCCCTCGAGGTTTGTCATTTCGTCGTTCCCTGACTGACACACGCTTTCATAGGGAGCTGGGTGGAGAATCGTACACCCAGAGCAAGTTCTCTTCGCCAACTCCCACACAACTGGTTGGTTTTTCTCGACCCTCACCACAGCATAAAAGCTAGCGTCGGCCATCCAGACTCCAGGGGTCTGCTCGGATCCAGACCCTTGTGCAGTTCTCTTTGTAGGGTAAAGAATCCTCTGCATTAGCGTCCTAACAATTCGTCAGCGCAATTGTGTTCCCATCACCCACCACCTTTCACCACCACCTACCAAAGGCCTTAGCCAACGTTCGAGGCGCACCTAAAAGGACCAACATCCAGACCAGATCCCAAACAGCCCAACCTTACTAGCGTGAGCTTTCGTAGCCGTCAGCTGACATCACGTGCACAGTGATATCTTCAGCAGCCGCCGTGGCTGATAACTCTTCGCATCTCCCATTCTAGTCTCTCCAGCAGGTGAGATGGTGGCTCCGAGGGAAAAATGGTCCGCGCGCGTTCCTTTCCGCGTCCAGCCGCCAATAAGCTTGTGAAAGCGTCTCCTCTTCTCACGCCCTCCGCGTCGTCCGCTCGCACACAAAATGCGTCGTCGCATCTCACTCTAACTTATTCCTCTCCAACCCTCGCTGCTCCTCGCAGCCCGATCGCGTCGCTCACCTCGCAATTGCGCATCCTGCATTCTCCTCGCATCGGATGTCCGCAGACGCGATATCTATCGAGTAGCTTCCATTCAAGAAGTCTTTCTACCGCCACCGCCGCTGTTAGAATAACTGACTTCGGCAATCTCGGTGTCACCAAGGCTCGCGTTTCCACATATCTTTCCACCACTCGTCCGTCACCGCGTGCATCCTCTGCGCCCCGTACGCCGTTCCGGGGGCATTCGTCCGTGCGGCAAAGCCGCCAGCAGCACTTAAAGAAACAGCCCCAACAATTTCCAAATCAGCAGGAAGACATGGCGGTAGCCGTGAAACCAGCGATCGACACGCTCTCTCCTCCTCCCGTCGGTGCCGCCCTCTCTTCCGCTCACCAGCCTCTACCAGCCGAACCAGTCGCATCCCCAACGGCATCAAGCCCGCCACCAGATGTACCCGTGCACTCCAGCATTCGCATCAGCGACGCGCGACAGCTGCACGCCCACGATCGCGTGGTGCTGAGCGATGTGCCACCGTCGCTCGTGCTCACGCCGCACGCGGGGGGTTTGGGGGCTTCGGGGGAGGGGAAGGCGCAGGGCGTGTTTCTGGGGAGTCGTTTCCGCGAGGCGCACAGCTGGCACGTGTTCCGCCTGGGCGTGCTCAGGTGAGGCGAAATGCGATGTGGTGAAGCGCAATGCGGTGCGATCGCGCGGTGGTGAGCCGACGCTGCAATGTGGTGTGATCTCATGCTGTTGAGCGCAGTTTTCTGGTTCGTTTATAGAGGCGCGAAATGAACTGATCATGTACCATAAAAAATAAGCGCTGGGAGCGACGCGGCGAAACGCGGGTGAGTGCCCAGGAAGGCTGTCGCATGAAAGCACTTTCTCACCCGTATCTTGTCTCGAAATAGTACTACATCGCTAATGATCGTGCGCGCCACGTGCCTCTAACCCACCAAACTCCCAATTGACCTCCCGCCCTGTGTCGTGCACTGGTGTACCCTTTTCCCCTCCTTTTCCCCCGCTCTTGCAAACTACTCACCACTCCCCCTAGGGAGCGAGCTTCCTGTGTGCATCCGCTTCAAGCTCTGGTGGATGACGCAGCGTGTGGGCAACTTTGAGTCTGCTCATCAAACACCTCCCCCCCCTCCCCCCCACTCTACCCCCCACTCCCTCTCCTCCCGCTCTCACTCCCCCAGGGGAGCGCGGTTCCTTTGCTGCTTCCGCTACAAGCTCTGGTGGATGACGCAGCGAGTGGGCAGCTTTGAATCTGCTCAAGCAATTCCCCCCACCCTCTCCCCCCCACTCTTCCCCCCACTCCCTCTCCTCCCGCTCTCACCCCTCCAGGGGAGCGCGGTTCCTGTGCTGCTTCCGCTTCAAGCTCTGGTGGATGACGCAGCGTGTGGGCAGCAGCGGCCGCGAGGTCCCCGTGGAAACGCAGTTCCTGCTGCTCGAACTGCCCGCCGGGCAGCAGCAGCAGCCACAGCACGCGTCAGCAGAGGCGGGCGGCAGCGCGAGCGCGAGCGCGAGGGTGTACGTGGTGGTGCTGCCGCTGCTGGACGGGTCCTTCCGTGCGGCGCTGCAAGGCTCGCCCTCCGACCACCTCGAAGTGTGCCTCGAGAGCGGTGAGCAGAAGGGCATTGTGGTGGTTTCGAAGAGCAGCAAAGTAGACTTGCCGTTAAGGCTTCAGCTAAGGCGAGTGGATTACAGAAGAGGAGGAATCGTGAAAAACAGGACTGCGATGAGTCACTCTGTGCTGTGCCCTGTGCCCTGTGCCCTGTGCCCTGTGCCCTGTGCCCTGTGCCCTGTGCCCTGTGCCCTGTGCCCTGTGCCCTGTGCCCTGTGCCCTGTGCCCTGTGCCCTGTGCCCTGTGCCCTGTGCCCTGTGCCATGAGTAACTGGCCTGCTCATTGTCGCGTGCTTACTCCAGTGAACCCTTTGCTCTGCACGCACTGAAACGAAGCACGCGAATTCCTCATCCTTGAGCTGTCTTAGCTCGCCATCACCTCCCCCCCGTGCTCCACCCATGCCGACCATTTTATGGCCCTCCATGCTGACGTCATGCACGCCCTGTCCATGCACGCCCTGTCCATGCACGCCCTGTCCATGCGCAAGCGCAAAAAGTCCACGTGTATCTCCTATGCTCTCTCTGCAAGAATTCTTATGACATAGGTGTATCTCCTATGCTCTCCTGCAAGAATTCTTATGACATAGGTGTATCTCCTATGCTCTCTCCGCCTTCCATTCCCACCATCCCCTTCCTGTCAACCCATTCATTACCCCATGCCCATGCCATCACAGGCGACCACCAGCTCACGTGTGCACGAGGGAGTCACTGCATGCGGTGTATCATGAGAGTTCCTGTCATCTCTCCCCCTTCCACCCCCTCCCTCCCCGTTCCGCCCCGCCCCATCCCTTTCCATCCCCTTCTACCCCCTGTCACCAGGCGGCCCCCAGGTGTGCATGAATGAGTCACTTCACGCACTATCGTATGATTTCCATGCTTATTTGTCTCCTTTGCTCTGCTCTCCCCACTCTCCGCCCTTCTAAACCCCACCACCAGGCGACCCCCAGGTGTGCACGGATGAGTCGCTGCACGCAGTGTACATGCACAGCGGAACCAACCCCTACTCCATCATCTCCGATGCTGTCAAGTATGTGCCTGCCACCCTGCTTTCTCTCTTATCTCTATGCCTCTCAACCGCTCTCCACTCCCTGCGCATGCACAGTGGCACCAACCCCTACTCCATTATCTCCGATGCTGTCAAGTGCGTTCCTCCCAGCGCCACCCTTCCCTCCCTCTCTCAACCCTTCTCTCAATTTCTCCTACACCTCTCAACCGCTCTCCACTCCCTGCACATGCACAGCAGCACCACCCCCTGCTCCATCATTGCCGATGCTGTCAAAAGAGCGCCTGCCACCCTGCCCTCCCTATCTCCCTCCACTCCACTACTCTTCACCTCTCTCCTTCTGCTGATTCTTCTGCACTCCGTTCTCTTCTGATGTCCATTCACTCTTTCACTTTCCATTCACCCCTTTACTCGTTCTTGACCGTTTTTGAGGCGCCTCAAAATCCTCCCTCTCCTTCCCCCGGGCACCCCCTCCCCCTCCCCGAATCCTGGCAGGGCGGTGGAGCAGCACACGGGCTCGTTCCTGCGGCGCGAGGAGAAGCAGCTGCCGGGGCTGCTGGACTGCTTCGGGTGGTGCACGTGGGACGCCTTCTACACCAAGGTGGACGCGCAGGGCGTCAAGCAGGGCCTCGCCAGGTGCGTGCAGGCAAGCAGGGGCAGGGAGGTGCGTCAGTTATTGAGACGCCAAGAGAGAGTATGACGTATATAAAACCTGCAGATACGCCATTTGTGAGACGCCTCAAAAAAGCTGCTGCATTGATTCTGGTGGTGCACGTGGGACGCCTTCTACACCAAGGTGGACGCTCAGGGCGTCAAGCAGGGGCTTGCTAGGTGCGTGCAGGCAAGCAGGGCTGGCAGGTGCAGGCAAGCAGGGCTGGGAGGTAGGTGCAGGCAAGCAGGGCTGGGAGGTAGGTGCAGGCAAGCATGGCTGGGAGGTAGGTGCAGGCAAGCATGGCTGGGAGGTAGGTGCAGGCAAGCAGGGCTGGGAGGTAGGTGCAGGCAAGCATGGCTGGGAGGTAGGTGCAGGCAAGCATGGCTGGGAGGTAGGTGCAGGCAAGCATGGCTGGGAGGTAGGTGCAGGCAAGCAGGGCTGGGAGGTAGGTGCAGGCAAGCATGGCTGGGAGGTAGGTGCAGGCAAGCATGGCTGGGAGGTAGGTGCAGGCAAGCATGGCTGGGAGGTAGGTGCAGGCAAGCAGGGCTGGGAGGTAGGTGCAGGCAAGCAGGGCTGGGAGGTAGGTGCAGGCAAGCATGGCTGGGAGGTAGGTGCAGGCAAGCATGGCTGGGAGGTAGGTGCAGGCAAGCATGGCTGGGAGGTAGGTGCAGGCAAACTATTAAGTCGTGAGGCGTCTCAAGGGGCTGCTGGGCTGCTTCGGGTGGTGCACGTGGGACGCATTTTACACCAAGGTGGACGCCCAGGGCGTCAAGCAGGGGCTCGCTTGGTGCATCAACCCTGGGAGGGGCTGGCAGGTACGTGCAGGCAAGCGTTGAGACGTCACAAGGGGCTGCTGAATTGCTTCGGATGGTGCACGTGGGATGCACTCTACAGCAAGGTGGACGCTCAGAGCAAATGTGAGCGTCAAGCAGGGGCAAGGGCTGACAGGTGCGTGCAACATATGTCTCCCCATATTTGTATCCCAATCCTCCCATCCCCTCTCTCCCAGTTCCCCCCATCCCCTCTCTCCCACACTCCCCCATCCCCTCTCTCCCACACTCCCCCATCCCCTCTCTCCCACACTCCCCCATCCCCTCTCTCCCACACTCCCCCATCCCCTCTCCTCGCTCATGCAGTCTGGCAGAAGGCAACACACCAGCCAAGTTTCTGATTATCGACGATGGATGGCAGTCAGTGGCAGCAGACTCACACGAGGACTCCAGCGCCACCATCACCGTCGGCACACAGTGAGTGCGCAGATGAGGTGTAGTGCGGTGCAGTAGTGTACTGTATTACAGAGGTAGACTCACATGAGGACTCCAGCGCCACCATCACTGTCGGCACGCAGTGAGCGCTCAGAAGAGTGGTTCAGTGTGATGCAGTGCAGTGTGGTAGTATAGTGCAGTGTGGTAGAGCACTGTAGTACAGTACAGTGGAGTGGGGTGTGGTTGAGTACTGTAGTATGGTGCGGTGCAGTGTAGTGAAATAAGTCCTTAGTACAGTAGTAGGGTGCTGAAGTACAGTGCGGTGCGGTAGGGTGCTGTAGTACAGTGCGGTGCACTATAATAATGTGCGGTGCAGTAGAGTACAGTGGTACAGAGCAGTGCAGCAGCCCACAAAAGGCTTGCAGCATTCAGTGGCTGGCTGCTGACTCGCATGAAGACTCCAGTGCCACCGTCACCATTGCCACACAGTAGGCGCTCCCAATCGTGCTCTTGAAACCTGTAGGCAGTGCGGTAGAGAGCGGCACATTGCGGTGCAGTATATCCCTTTAAATGCCACTCCGCCAGCTCATTTCCATCCTCCGCATCTAATGGTAGAAACGCATTCCATGGTCCACCCCCATTTCACTCTGCAGGTACGCGAGTCGCCTCACGGATCTCAAGGCAAACTACAAGTTCAAGCAGCAGCGGCAGGAGGGGGAGGAAAAAGAGGGTGCAGGGCGGCAGGAGGAGGGGCAGGGAGAGGAGGGAGAGGAGGGGGCAAGTGTGCTTGGCGAGGCAGCGGGGATGGTGCATGGGCTGGGGCAGGTGGTGCGGGAGGTGAAGGCCGCTCATGACCTCAAGTGAGTCTCATGCTCTTGATCTGGAATGAGTGTCTCTTGGTTTCAATTGGGACTCTTGGCGTTTTGAGAACCTCTGGTCTGATGTGCTTTGTTGAAGGTTTTATGCGCCGTCTGTGAGTAATCATCCATGTCTTTTATCTCTTCATCCCCCTCCGACCCGAGGGTACGTGTATGTATGGCATGCACTGATGGGCTAATGAGAAGAAACCCGTCTGCACGACTCCAGCATTTTGAGACCTCCTGTTTTGAGACGTAGAGTTTTGAGACGTAGTGTTTTGAGACGTCTCAAAACACTACTTCTATCACGTATCTGATGGGCTAATGAGAAGAAACCCATCTGCACGACTCCAGCATTTCAGCGATTCAACCCCTCCGTTGTCGCCCATCCGCTCTTCGACACGACAACCCATTATCTCCCCTTTTACAACCCATTATCTCCCCTTTTACAACCCATTATCTCCCCTTTTACAGCCCATTATCTCCCCTTTTACAACCCATTATCTCCCCTTTTACAACCCATTATCTCCCCCCCTCCGCCTTCTCTGCCGGTACGTGTACGTGTGGCACACCTTTCCAACATGCCGCACTTCGACCCCTCCGTTGTCTTGTCCCCCATCTGTTTTTCATCAACCCACTCTCCCCTATCTCTTTCCCCCCTTTGCAGGTACGTGTACGTGTGGCACGCACTGATGGGCTACTGGGGAGGAGTCCGCCCGCACGCCAGCAGCATGCAGCAGTTCGACCCAGCACTCGTCTTCCCCGTGCCATCGCCCTCCATCCTGCTGAACCAGCCCGACATGGCCCACGACTCCCTCACGCTCAACGGGCTGGGCGTGGTGTCCCCCGCCAAGGTCTTCCATTTCTACGACGCACTGCACGGGTATCTGGCGGCGTGCGGGGTGGACGGGGTGAAGGTGGACGTGCAGAATATACTGGAGACGCTGGGCGCGGGGTATGGGGGAAGAGTGGCGCTGGCGAGGGGATACCATGAAGCGTTGGAGCGGAGCGTGGCGAAGAACTTTGAGGAGAACGGAGTGATCGCGTGCATGAGCCACAACACTGATGGGCTCTACTCGTGAGTGCTCCCTCGATACTAGATGGCTCTTTCTCTTTGGGCTCCTTCCTTTCTCTCTTGCACCCGCCTTTCCCTTCTCATTGTTCACCCATGCTCATCTTTGCTACTTTCCGTTCCGCCTCCCCTCCCTCACTGCGTCTTCTCTATGTTTGAGGCGCCTCAATCAGATCACCTGCTACTCACAATACAGCACAGCAACACAGCAGCACATCTGAGTCGGCTCAAAAGTCACAGCACAGCAACACAGCGATACTTCTGGCCCACCAACCCAGCCTCTCTCTTCCCGCCCGTTCCCCTCAAGCCCCACCCCCTTGGCCCATTGGTTCTCCCCAACCCAACCCCATCCACATGCACTCCCCCGCTTTCCCTTAACCGCGCAGAGCGAGGCAGACAGCTGTTGTGAGGGCGTCTGATGACTTGTGGCCCTTTGACCCTGCTTCTCAGCCTTCCTTCCCTTCTCCCCCAACCTCCCTGCCCTTTTTTTCTCCCAAATCTCCTCCCTCCACCTTCAACCATGCAGGGCGAAGCAGACAGCGGTGGTGCGGGCATTGGATGACTTCTGGCCCACCGACCCCGCCTCTCTCTCTGCCTGCGTGCACCTCCCCGGCTCCCCCATGTACCTCCCCCATCACGCTAAACCCCCTTGGGTTTTCAACTGAGCAGAGCAAAGCAGACAGCAGTGGTGCGGGCGTCTGATGACTTCTGGCCCACCGACCCCGCCTCGCACACCGTGCACATCGTCTCTGTATGTCCCATTCCCTCCGCTCCTCCTTCCATTCCTCCTGCTGTTGCGCACCCCATTCCCATCATTTCTCGTCCAATTCCCACCGTCCCTCAACCCATTCCCACCGTCCCTCGCTCCTTGTTCTATTCCCTCGTTCTTCGTCCCATTCTCACCACTTCTCTCCCACCAATTCCCACAAAATTTCCTCCCATTCCCACCGTTCCTCCTCCCATTCCCACGGTTCCTCCTCCCATTCCCACCGTTCCTCCTCCCATTCCCACCGTTCCTCCTCCCATTCCCACCGTTCCTCCTCCCCTTCCCACCGTTCCTCCTCCCATTCCCACCGTTCCTCCTCCCATTCCCACCGTTCCTCCTCCCATTCCCACAGTTCCTCCTCCCCTTCCCACCGTTCCGCCTCCCATTCCCACCATTCGTCCTCCCATTCCCACCGTTCCTCCTCCCATTCCTGCCATCCACCGGACACATCGTCGTCGTGCGTCCATCCATCCACATTCCTCCCCTCCTGCATCCGTCCCTCCCCTGGCTTAGTTCATTGCCTTGCACCAAACGCCCTCACTTGTCGTGGGCTCGCCTGGTGTGTTCCACCCTTTCGCTCACCACCATCGCCTTCTTACCCATCCCCTTGGCGCTCGCCACCCATCCCCTCTGTCATCCCCACCCCTGCCACCAGGTGGCATACAACAGCCTGTTCCTGGGCGAGTTCATGCAGCCCGACTGGGACATGTTCCACGTGCGTGTGGTGGGGGGGGGGGGCTGGTCTGGGCTGGGCGTGTGCCAGGGAGGAGGAGAGTGCGGGATGTGGGGTGAAGGTGTTCGTCGAGCTGTGTGGGTCTGTTTCTGGGCAAGTTCATGCAGCCCGACTGGGACATGTTCCACGTGCGTGTTGACTGGGAAGGGAGGAGAGGGTGACTGCTGGCTGTTTACTGGACTGAAGGTGTTTAACTTGCCCTATGACCAGTTCCTTCCTCATCTCGTTCCCCCTTGGTCTGGTTTTAACCCCTTTTTCGTCTTCTCGTTCCTGACCCTGCTGCCAGTGATTTCTTTCACACTTATCACCCCCAACGCCCTACCCACCTCACGCCTTTTGATCTCGTGGTTTGCTGCTACTCCCGACATGAATCTCGATCGCGTGGCATCCCTCACCTGATCCCTTCTTTCTCTTCCCCCCCCCCCCCCTCCCTGCTCTCGTCGCTCTGCCTGCACGCCTCTCTGCCTCTCTGCCTGTCTGCGTGCCCCCACCACCAGTCGCTGCATCCAGCAGCGGAGTTCCATGCAGCAGCGCGAGCTGTGGGGGGATGCGCTGTGTATGTCAGGTGCGTGCGGTGGGTGTGTGTGGTGTGTGTGTGGAATGGGTGTTGTACGAAAATGTTGGTTTGGTAAATGTCCATGGGAGGAGGTAGGTAGGTGCTGCGCATGTAAGGTGGAATCTCCTCTTGCTCCCTCGTTGTAAAGTTGTGTCTTTGCTCACCATTCCATCATTCCCTCTCTAATCCTTTCCTTTCCTTTCCTTCCTTTTTCCACTCCCCCAGCCTGCAGTGACAAGCCAGGGCAGCATGACTTCAGTGTACTGCGCAAGTTGGTGCTGCCTGATGGCTCTGTGCTGCGCGCCAAGCCATACCCACACCTCTCCCCTCCATTTTCTTCTCTCCATCCCTGTCTCTCCCCCTCCACAGCGACAAGCCCAGCATGACTTCAGTGTGCTGCGCAAGCTGGTGCTGCTTGATGACTGTGTTCCAATTCATGTCCACCTCTCTCCCCTCCCTTGTCTTCTCTCCGCCCCTGCCCCCCCCCCCCCCCCTTCAGTGACAAGCCAGGGCAGCACGACTTCGGTGTGTTGCGCAAGCTGGTGCTGCCAGACGGCTCTGTGCTGCGCGCCAAGCTGCCCGGCCGACCTACCAGGGACTGCCTCTTTGCTGACCCCGCCCGAGACCACACCAGGTGCGGTAGTGCTGCTGGCAGCAGGTGCGTGCAATGGCAGCAGGTGCGTGCAATGGCAGCAGGTGCGTGCAATGGCAGCAGGTGCGTGCAATGGCAGCAGGTGCGTGCAATGGATTGCATGTGGTCCATCGACTCACTGGATCCGACTCCTTCATCTCCACGCACCCGCCTCTGCTTCCTCCGGCCTCCTCCTTCCCTTCCCCAGCCCCCCTGCATCCCCAACAGCATGCTCAGAACGCCTGTTGTGGCATGGTGGGCGCATTCAGCTGCTCCTGTCCTTGCCAACATTCCTTCCCCCAACCACTTCCTTCCTCAACTCTCTCATTCCCCTGCCCTTCTCGTTCCCCCACCCTCCTCTATCCCCAACAGCATGCTCAAGGAATGGACAATGAATGCCTGCGGGGGCACTTGAGCCACAAGCCCAGGTGCGCACTTTCAATTGCCCCATTCCTCTCGACCGACCCTCAACCCCTTCCTTTCCCCACCCCTCCTTCCGCACACCCCTTCTTCCCCCCAACAGCATGCTCAAGATCTGGACAATAAATCCCTGTGGGGGCATGGTGGGCGCGTTCAACTGTCAGGGCGCGGGATGGTGCCGCGACGGCCGCAAGTACACCATGCACAACCCCGACCCCGATGCTGTTATCAGCACCGTCGCTGCTGCTCACGTGGTGGTTAGGTGGCTGCATGAAACCGCCTCATCTTTTTCCAACCCCAACCCCTGCCCCCCTCCTTTTATCCACCCCTCCTCTCCCCTCCTCTCCGGCCCCCTCCATCCCACAGCATGCTCAAGATCTGGACAATGAATGCATGTGGGGGCATGGTGGGGGCGTTCAACTGTCAGGGCGCGGGGTGGTGCAGGGATGGGCGCAAGTACACCATGCACAACCCTGATCCGGACGCCGTTACTGGGACTGTTGCTGCTGCTGACGTGGACCTGCTTGCTGACGTGGCGGCCGGAGACTGGACGGGAGACGTGGCGGTGTTTTCGCATAATGCAGGTGGGTGTTCAGAGGAAAGGGGGGAATGGGAGGGAGGGACGGAGGGAGGGAGGGAAAGGGGGAGAGGGAACTAAGAAAAGCTAGCTATGGGTTTAAGAGGGCGTGGGGCTGTGTTAGTTTGCATGGAGTGGCATATTCTGAGTGACGTGACTTTTACCACACTCTGACTTGGGCGCACCATGGTACGGGTGTTGCCTGGTGTTGCAGCGTATGATCTTTGAGTCGACTCAAAAGTCAGCCCTTTTCCACACACACACTGACTTAGCGGCACCATGGTACGGGTGCTGCCTGGTGTTGCAGCATACGCCGCCACTCTATTTTCTTGCCCCTATCGTCTTGTTTTGAAGCCTTCTTTCACCATCTTCCACCGCATGTGTGTGGGTGTGACACTATCCCACGCTGCTCATAACATCCCATGCATGATACCTCCTCATGTGTCTCCAATGCACGCCCTTAATCCCAAGTTGCCCCCTTCTGGTGCAGCTAATAGCAGACACATCGCTGAGTTTTAAGTTGCCGCCAGGTATTGAACCCGCGACCCATCGCCCATATCACCAACCTGCTGCTCTATTCCACTTCCTCCACTCACACCCGCCCGTGCCCCCATCAGGCGAGTTGGTACGACTACCAGCAGACACATCCCTCGTGGTGCATCTCCATCGCCTTGAGTTTGAGCTCTACACCATCGCCCCCATCACTGTACGTCCTCATCCCATCCCTCCTGTTCAACTTGTTTGTCACATCCCCCTTGTGAGGGCTCACCTGGTGGTCTGTTCACCTACTCCTCATTCCCATACCGCCCATACGACCCATACCACCCCTGCCACCCCTGCCACCCATACCACCCCTGCCACCCCTCCCATCCCCCTACCAGGTGTTGAGAAGTGTGGTGGTGGCCCCTATAGGCCTGACCAACATGTTCAACTCGGAGGGTGCTGCGCCCCATCATGCATGCTTATCGCCTTCCCGTTACCCCACCGACATGGTCAAACCCTCCGATTAGGTGGTGGGAAGTGTGACAGCGTGGTCCATAGGCCTGACCAACATGCTCAACTCTGCCTGTGCTGGCAGTCTCTTTACCGATACCTACCACCACCCCTGCCATCCCTCCCATCCCTTCCATCCCTCCATCCTCATCTCCCCTGCTGTCTCTGCCATCCCCCTTACCAGGTGGTAGGAAGCGTGGCGGTGGCGCCTATAGGACTCACCAACATGTACAACTCAGGAGGTGCCGTGCTGGCCGTGCGCACGAGCAACACCAGTGCTGCCGGCACGTGTGTCACAAGCCCAGATGCTGCAGGTGTAGGTTCAGCGAATGTAGACATGGCAGAGGCACACACAGCAGCAGGAAGAGAAGCAGATGCGAGGGAGCCGGGAGCAGGAGCAGCAGAAGCAACAGTGGAGGTGGAAATGAGAGGAGGGGGCAGCTTTGTGCTGTATGCATCGAGGGAGCCTTTGTGGTGTACAGTGGACGGGGCAGAAGCAGAGGTTGCCTACACGCCTGATGATGGCCGGGCGGTCGTGCAGGTGCCATTCAGGGCAGGTGCTACCTGCTTGCTCAGATTTGCCTTGTGACTGGACAGCTGGCAAGGAAGCAAGCTCATGCGAGTTGGGGAAGAAGGTGTGAGGTGTGCTGCTGAGGCTGCAGCTGGGACTTTGCGCCAGGGTAGTACAGTGTTGAGTGTGGGCTGTGGAGATACTATGAGTGCTTGCTGGCAATGCATATGTTTGTATGCTGCTGTCACGATGCCCCATGTCAACAGCATGATAGCATCGCCAGAATGATGCAAGTCCTAAAGATGTACAGGTACATTCTCACAGAGCCTCGCGTCTCAAATGACGAGATACAGTGCGGTGAAAATGCATGATTCTCCGCTGTAATGCGGTGCAGAACAGTACGTAGGTTTTGTGATGGGATTGAGACACAAATGTCCATATGAGAATGTACCCTTAGCATATATGTGAAACTAGTTATATGGAAGGTGGCATTGATACAGTTGCTTGGGACGGAGAAGAGGAGACAAAGGGGGAGGAATGAAGGAGCATGGGGGATCTTGAAAGGAAGAAGAGGATGAGGGTCATTGGTCAGCGAAACTTGCTCAGCACAGCCTTTTGGTAGGAAGGACCGTTCTAGGTATATCTTCCGCTCTTGCCAATATCATTCTTTCCCCACTTCCAAGGACTCACGAAATTGGTCAGAGGGGGTTGGTGAGAAGTGTAGAGGGAGACAATGGTGCGGAGGAAAAATGACAGGCAGCCAGAAAAAATTAACCATCAAATATCCCCAGAATTGTTGCATATAACATCACTTCTAACATCACAGATTATTCCCCACTACCACACACACACACACACACACACACACACACACACACACACACACACACACACACACACACACACACACACACACACACACACACACACACACTCCAATCAACCCCCTATCCCCTCTACCACCCTTCCCAATAAAAGCCCAGCCAAGCTGGCCAAACGCATCCCCACGATCTCACAGGCGAAGAAAATGCAAACCCGCCCAAGAAGGAAAAAGAAGGTGGTAGTAGCAGAACTGTGAAGCAGCATAACAAGAGGTTATACTACCTCGCAACCACAGCTTGACCCGTTTGTGAGTGTCACCAAGAGGCTCCCGCAAATCCTTCTTGTGAGGTTGCTCGTCGTGGCTCATCGCACCCTCGGGAAGCTCGCCGTGGTCACGGCTGTTGAGCGCGTCACTACGGGAGTCCGTCGGGCGTGCAATCGTGGGGAGTCGTTTCAAAACCCGCCACCATCGTGATCTAGTCGTCGTGATGGTCGTGGTGGTGGTGATGGTCGTCATCGTCATCGTCATCGTGATGGTCATCATCGTGATCGTCATCGTGGTGCTCCTTCTTCGGCTTGGGCTTGCACGCCTCGGCGCACTTCTCGTACTTCTCCTCGCACATCTCCGCCTTGTACCACTTGAAGCACTGGCGGCGGCGGTACAGGCACCAGTCCTTGCACCCCCACTTGCCGTACTTGCAGTTTTTGTACGACTTGTACGCCTTGCTCTCGCACACCGTCGACTGCGCCTCGCACTTCTCCTTCTCCTCGGAGCACGTCGCCTTCTCCACGCACGCCTCCTCCTTCTCCTCGCACGCGGCGTATTTGATCTTGTACTTCTGAATGCACGTCAGCTTCGGTTTGGGCTTCTCCTCGTGGTGGTGATCGTCGTCATCGTCATCGTCGTCGTCGTGGTGGTGGTGATGGTCATCGTCGTCGTCATCGTCATGGTCGTCGCCCAAGAAGCGCCTGGCGGCGAGAGTTCCTGCAATAGCAGAACGCGACGGGAAAATGCGTCAGAATTTTCTCTCGTTCGTGGGGGAAAAAAAAAAATCTAAGAATTCGGCGAAATGTCAGATACATGAGAAGCAACGGAATGACGGTACCAACCTGATGTACCGGCGCTGGCGACGGCGCTGGATTCCGCGTAAGCGGAGGGCGCAAGTAGGGCGACCAAAAGTGCAGAAATGGCGACGACAAGCGGAAGGAGCTTCATCGGAGCCATTTTGTGAGGTGGAAAGTATGGGGGACTGAACACGTTTCGAGATGTGAATGCCTCAATTGGATTCCCAGGCGCAATTTATTCTCAAAATTTGGCCCCCAGATGCGCCTCCCACCGAACCTTAGACAAAGCGCCATCGTTCAGGACGATGCGCGCCGCGGCTCGTTTGGAAAACCGAGCCGATTTTAAGGGCAGTCGAGTAGCACTGCCCATGAAACTTGTATGCTGTACACCTGCTTCAGATTTGACGAGGAATCAACTCGCTTCTTGAAATTCCGTCTCTGAACTAAATGATATGAACCGCGAAGTCGATGTTTTCGCACTGAACAACTACGGTCTGCCTCACGCCAGTAAAGAAAGCCATTTCTTGAAGGCGTCTCGGAAAGGCGGCGTCGCTTTAGCGACTCGGTTTGTTGACGGAATACTGTATCTCTGCCTTATCGCTGCCCCACACATAGAGCGCAAGTTGAATTCCGTCCGATGAACTGTAATCGACGTCTGAGAATAATCCACAATCCACCTGCAAGCTGCCCGAATAGTGAATATGAGGCGCAGGATATCGCCGCCTATATCATCCTCGCCAAAAGACCTCCTGCTGCAATAGAAGTACATGTAGGCTGTGTGAAGCTTTTTGAACTATGAAGCTACATCCTAGAGCTTCCACGCAAGCTTATTTTTTGCTTCCATCACTTCGCCATTCTAAATTTTATAAGGATGTGTTACGGGTGCAATGGAACGAGATAGCGAGGATTGCACTAGGTGTCAAACGAGTACAAAGTATGAGCGAAGGCATGAGCGAATACTTATACGCGAAACATGCCAACGGTCTCGCGGTGCAAGCGAGCTAGCTAGTGCTAGGCTGGCATCGGGGTTTGGGCTAGTCCCGAAGCGTAGGCCGACTCGGCCGGGCCAGCGGTGCATGGTTTGGTGAAACAGTGCGCGCGAAGTTAGCAAAGCCCCGTTAGCAGTAACGGGCGAACAAACGGTTGCTGTTGTAAGGAATGCCGAAAACTTCCTTACACTACCCCCCCCTCCCCCTCCTCCCCCCCCCCCTCTCTCCTTCCCCCTCAGAAAGCCCTCTCCGCTATGCGAGTGCGTGCGTGCATATCGCGGAAACCCTGGCTCCTCAGGTACACTTGCAGGGCAGGGTGGTTTTCGATGTTGGCCAGGGGCACCCAGCTATCTTCAGTTGGCGTGCGGTCCTTCCAGCAAACGAGGAACTCGATCCTCCTGATGCCTGTGGGGTGGCGAATCTGATGGCTCAAAAATTTCTCGGGCTCAACGATTGGCTCCGATGCAGGGCGAGCCATGGATGGCGGGCAGTGACGAGGCAATTGGCTTGTAGTTAGGATGTACGGGTGAAGTAGGTTGGCGTGGAACGAAGGGCTGATGTACCAGTCGGTTGGCAACAGTAGATGGGCGGTAACTGGGGTGATCATGTGGCTGATTTGGAATGGTCCACAGAAGCGCGGTCGCTGTTTCGGTACGACGGACAGTCTTAATTTCTGTGTGTCGAGCAGTACGTAATCCCCTGACTGGTACGTTACTGGGCGTCAGTGGCGGTGAGCATTTCCCTTAGCGATGATGTTGGTTTTCTTGATTGCGTATGCAGCTCTGGTTCCAGCAGCTTGCAAGATCTCGGCAAATTGTTGTGCGCGTGGCGTTGGGTTGTCCGGACTCGGCCTCATGGGCACTGTTGCGTTGTAGGCGAACTCGATCAGCGGCAGCTGCTGCTCCCATGTTGTCGGGTCGTCGCACGTGGCACGAATCAACTGTTCCATGGTCTGGTTTGTCTGCGCCGTTTGACCGACGGACTCTGGGTGGTATGACGAGCTGAACAGTAGCTTGGATCCGAATTACTCCCAAAGGTTCTCCTAGAAGTTGCTCATGAACTTCGTGTCGTGGTCACTGATTATCGTGGCTGGTATCCCGTACAGTCGAATGACGATTGCGTTGAACAGACGAGTGGTTTCTTCGGCTGAGATCGATTTCCTGCACGCGGCGAAGTGAGCCATTTTTGTCAGTCTGTCAACGACGACCACAATTGTAGCGTTACCCCTAGGGCTCGAAGGTAACCCTGTGACAAAATCCATGGTAACCTGCTGCCAGGCGCGCTCGGACGGTGGAATCAGCTGCAACGCCTTTCTTTTTCGCGAGCTCTTCATCACCTGACACGTAAGACACAACCCCACGTGGTGATGTACGCCGATCAACAGCTCCGCGCATTGGCCTCCACGGTATCTCACCCCCACACCCCGGGTAGGCATCATCGTTCTCACCCGGTCTCACTCTCCTATTCCCCACCGTCGCCCTTCGCGCTTCCCCATAGTCGCAACTGCCATTTTTCCACGCTATCACTCCCCTTCCCCGTCGCTTTCTCTCCCCTTCCCCCTCGCTAGCGTGCCCGTTTCCAGCCACGCGCGCCCTCCCCCTCCCCCTCGCGAGCACTCCCCTTTCCCGTCGCTCGCGCTCCCCTACCCCGTCTCTATCTCTCCCCTTTCCCTACGCTATCACTTGCACCTGAGACTAGCATAGTCGCTGTAGGTGCTGCTCGTGGCACTCCTCGCACGCCCTTCTTTGAGGGGTGCTCCCCCTCCCCCCTTGCCCCCTCTGTTGCTTCTGCTGCTGCTGTTGACTTCCTTGGTGCTGAGGAGGTCGGCGCTGCTTCTGCTCCTAGTGGGAAGCGCCGCAGCGGCAAGGGCAAGGGAGGCAAGAGTGGTGGAGGTGGCGGCGGAGGGGGTGGTGGTGGAGGCGGTGGAGGCGGTGGAGGTGGCGGAGGTGGCGGTGGGAGTGGTGGCGGGAGTGGGGGCGTCGGTGGCGGCGGTGGCGGCAGCGGTGGGAGTGGTGGTGGTCGTCGTGATGGCAATGGGAGTGGTGGCGGCGGTGGTGGCGGCAGTGGGAGTGGTGGCAGCGGTAGTGGTGGTGGTCGGGTTGGAGCTGTCCAAAGGCAGCAGCAGCAGCGTCCGCGTGAGACCCCTTCGCCCCAGCAGCTTCGTGAGTGGTTTGCTCAGCGTGGGGCGTCTGGGGGTAGTGTTCGCTGCCCGTACGTCATTCGCACAGGTGACTGCGCTGGTCAGACATGCGGGAAGTTTCACACATAGCACCGCTGCTTCTCCTGCCTAGACGATGCTTGGCGCGCAGATTTTGGCAACGAGGCAGAGCTTCCCCGCTGGGTGGAGCTGCTTAGACCTGGTGTTGATATCTTTGCTCTTGACTATGACGCTATCCTTGGTGCCATGTATGCTTTGACTGTTAGTGCTGAGGGTGACTGTTACTTGTCTGTGCCGCCTGAACCAGGTATAGAGGCTGCTGCTTTAGGTGCTAGTGAGTCTGCTCTCTCTAGTACTGCGCCTGCTGAGGCCTTGCACACCTTCACGCTTGACTCAAGTGCTTCCCGCTGTTTCTTTCGCGACAGTACCACAGTCACACCACTCCCTGCACCCGTTGCAGTCTCACTGGCTCACCCCTCTAGGGGCCCAGTTCTTGCACGTTCCTCCACTGTTCTCCCGTGTCCGGCGGTTCCGTCCGGCTCACTGTCAGGTCTCCACCTCCCCTCGTTCTCGACGAACTTGGTGAGTAACGCTGTCCTTCAGGATGCATGGGTTGAAACCTTTTCCCCTGGAGGGCAGCGTGTGGCGATCTACAAGTGCTCCCGGACTGGCCGTCACCTGGCCACGTTCACCCGTCGGCCTGGGTCGAGTCTGTACACACTGACTACTATGCCTCGTCAGGTCGCTGCGTCTGGTCAGGTGTCCGCGTCAGGTCAAGTAGCAGCCTCCTGCTTGTGTCGGCTCCTGTCGCACCAGACTCTCCTGTGGCACCACCGCCTTGGTCACCCCTCCCTGCCACGCCTCCGTGGCATGCATTCCCGCCTTCTGGTCTCTGGTCTTCCCAGGTCTCTGCCTCCCCTCCCACCCTCGCCTGCCCCGCCCTGCATTCCTTGCGTCGAGGGGCGGCAGCGCGCCGCTCCTCACTCCTCCTCGTTTCCCCCGACGATTGCTCCCCTCATAGTCTCCACATGGACGTGTGGGGCCCAGCTCGCGTTCAGTGGACAGGGCTGCGAGCGATACTTTCTGCTGGTTGTTGACGACTACTCGCGTTACACCACGGTCTTCCCCTTGCGCAGCAAGGGGGAGGTCCCTGATGTCTTGATCCCTTGCATCCGTGCTGTCCGTCTCCAGCTCCGCGAGCGGTTCCGCACAGACCTTCCTGCGTCTGCACTCTGACAGAGGTGGTGAGTTCTCCTCCGACCTCTTGCGGGACTTTGTCGTTCACGCTTCCGGCCTCTCCGTAGCAGAATGGGGTTGCTGAGTGCCGCATTGGCTTAGTCATGGAGGTGGCTCGTACCTCCATGATCCATGCTCGTACCTCCATCCTCCAGTCGTTCACGCTTCCGGCCTCTCCGTAGCAGAATGGGGTTGCTGAGTGCCGCATTGGCTTAGTCATGGAGGTGGCTCGTACCTCCATGATCCATGCGGCTGCTCCCCATTTTCGGTGGTCGTTTGCAGTCCGGTACGCTGCGCATCAGCTCAACCTCTGGCCCCGTGTCTCCTTGTCGAAGACCTCGCCTACACTGCGTTGGACGGGGGAGGTTGGCGATGCGTCGGTGTTCCGGGTCTGGGGCTCTCGTGCCTTTGTCCGCGATACCACCACGGAGAAGCTCTCCTCCCGCACCATTCCGTGCATCATCTTTGGCTTCCCTCTTGACACGTCTGGCTGGCAGTTTTACCACCCCACCTCGCGCCGTGTTCTGCCCTCTCAGGACGTCACGTTTGACGAGTCGGTTCCCTTCTACCGTCTTTTCCCCCACCGCACAGCTCCTCTCCCCTCCCGCCGCTCTTCCTCGCTCCAGGTCCCCCTCCGGTAGACCCCCTCCCCCCTCAAGGTCCTGCTCCTTCAGGTGTGTCTCAGGTGGACCCACTTCGCATGGCTGATCATGTCGAGGTCATTGGTTGTGGAGATAACTCAGTGAACGGGAGCTAGACCACGGGCTAGGCACGGGG